ATCCATTCCTTTTACCTTCGGGATAAAAGCGATATCTGTGGGCCCCTCGATGATTTAGCGATGATACATGTGAGTGCTTGGCCAATCCAGGACTGATTTGATTTGTTCAATCAGTCAGTCATCATAAATCGAAAATCGGGAAACAACAAATGGACAGAGAGAATGATTATAATCCATGTCTCAGTCCATATGATATCTAGAATGGAGGAATATATGATCCCTTATCTAATGGACGCGTCATTGATTTGTTCAGAGTTCGACATCGGCTTTAAGAGCTACAATTGCTAGTCGGGTTATGAAGTCGTACTTGCAATAATAGTTTTAGACTTATCCAAGTGGGAGACTGTTGGATTAGATGTCTAAGCCCATAACTATTATTGGTATGTACTTGACCCGAGAGTAGCATGGTCCATTTGGGTTGCATATCATCAGGACAATTTGTTAGGATGGACTTTTGAGAGAAGGTTATTTATGGTTATTATTATATTATAAGTTATAAATATTAATATGAAATCATATGTTTAATTAGTATCGATCAAGAATTAATTTGGAATTAATTGGTGATCAAAGAGACTAAATTAAATCTATGTGGGACTAATTATGATAATTAGTTATATTATATGTGTTGGGCTTATGATCCATGTTGGACCAAGTTATGTATGGATACATAAAGAGTTGGGCCACATAAACCATGGATCATAAAACCCATGGGTATGGATTATGGGTTATACCCATGACCCTTGGAATCCTACATATAAATAGGTTACTCCATAGCCAAAATCACCACTTCTTTTCTTAGAGAAATATGGAGGTGTTTTGGTGCATGGAATTCTCTCTCAAGAGCCACCTTTGTCCTAGGTGTGTTGTGATTCCATTTGAGGCATTTCCATACTATTGGTGCTAAGCTCTAAGGCCAAATACATCAAGACTTCAAGCCACATAAAAGGTATGTTTCCCTAACTAGTATATTATATGGTTTATGTCAAATGCATGCTAGTGATAGGTTTAATGCCTTGGAAACCATTTGCATGTATAATAGAGAAAACATAGATCCAAGGTATTTAGGGTTGTATGTGCACCATAGGATGTTGTAGTATACTAAAACGCAACACTAGCTACCCTGCCAGGCATTTCCGGGGTGCCCGACCTACCCATGTCAAGCAGTTCTGGGGTGCTTGACCTACCCTTTCAGGCAATTCTGGGGTGCCCGACCTACCCTCAGGTCCTTACGACCGTGTCACGGGGACTATTGCCCCTACTGCTACTATCACATATCATCATATCATGCTAACACATAAAACATATCAAGTAGTAGCAAACCTAGATAATTATCACAAAGACAATCATCTAATCAAACAACTCCTACTAGTGGGCCGACATTGTGGCCGTAGACCCACTTCTACTGGAAGGTAACTCACCTCGTAAAGCTGAGTGTCGAATCTCACGGGAAGTAACCTCTAACAGCTGCTCCGATGACTCCCAGCTATCATAATCATAATAATACTCAATCAGAATCTAGAACACTACTTAGGGTAAAATGACCATTTTACCCCCTTGGCCTAACTTGAACCATTCCTAAGGCCCAATTCTAACTTATTAAACCCAGTGCACACATGGCCCATCAAAGGCTCCCTAAGGCCCACTAATGGCCCGATTTTCTAAATTGGGACCAACACTTCAAATGGGCCTTTTCACACGTCCAATAAGTCCTTAGCCCAAAATGAATAATCTCGAATGGCCCAATATGGCCCAAAAGGCCCAATACTTCTAATTCCAAATTCCCAGGCCCAGAACTATACTCCACAGTGGGCCACGTGGCCCAATAGTCCAGACCCAGCCCTCTAAGGCCCAAAATCCAAAGTATGGGCCAAACCGAGGCCCAAAACACGCCAAGCCCATATATGTTGAGTACGCGGGGCGTACTCCTCTTTACGCTAAGCGTACTGGCTAAATGGCGTGTACGTTGCGCGTACCTGCATGTACGCCCAGCGTACTTCCCTGTTAAGTCACTTTTCCCATTAAGTGTTTAATACTCTAATACAAAGGCTATAATTACAGATCCAAGTCCTCTTCAATGTCTTGATCCATAGTCGATCACTTGGTGGTTTGCAACCCACCAAATGAGCCCAAACATTGAATAATAGCAACTAACTCCATAGAAATGGCTAGATCTCATGCATGGTTACATAAAGGCCTTAAAGGTTGAAACTTTACTGCTAAAGGAATGCTTTGAGCTCCAAGGGTGGCAACCCTATGCTAAAAAACGAAGTTGCATGATAAAGATCCATCCTTTGGGCCTAAAAAGGTCCAAAGCTCCATAATCCTAGATCTAAGCGTCTAAGAGGAAAGTTGGAAGCTTTATACCTCCTTTGAGTGCCAAAAGATGAAATAGTCCTAGATCCTTTGAGCTCAAGATACTCAAGTTCTTCTTCTTCAACTCCTATTCTCTTCTTCCAAGCTTTTCTTCACCAAAAATGAGCTCAAAAGGTCAAACACACACAACAATGGAGTATGAGGGCGTATTAGGGTTTTCTGAGGGTAAGGGACTGGTAAGGAGGCCAGGGGGTGGCTATAATGGGGTATTTATATGTCTTAAACCCTAAAATTAGGGTTTTGGCATCTGCTCATGTACGTTGCGCGTACGTGTGCGCGTCGCCCGCATCCAATGCGCCTCTACGCCCCACGTACACCAAGGCTACGCCCAGCGTACGTCTTATGGACGGCCCAAATTCTCGGCCCACTTGCTTAAGGTCCATTCCAAAAATCCACTTGTCTCATTATTAGTCCAATTAACAAATATTAATTACTTAAATTAAATAATACCTCGAGAGACGGATGTTACAAGGACTCCATTCTAAGGCTAGATCTATAACCATAAGTCCATTAAGACCTTAATAGGGCCAAAACTTGTGTATGGGACAAAGAATCATCCAAACCACCCAAAAATGACATCAAACTTGAATCTAGAAGAAGAGGTGTCAATGTGAGAACTTTATACCCCATGTAGCTTAGAAAACCAAAGAAAATGATGGATCCAAACCAGTTCCTTGCTTCCTTGCTTCCTTGTGAAATTCCTTCTTCTCAAGCTTCACTAAAAATCCAAGGAATAAGCTTCAAATCAAGAGAACAAGATTTATAATCTTCATGGATGCTAGGGTTTCGTTAATGAGGGGTTGGAGGCTGAAGATGATGCCCTAATCCTTGAGATTAGGTGCTTAAATATGGAGAAACCCCTAAAAATCAAGGGCTTGGGTTGCATCAGCTGCCACAACGTGGCCTTCCTCTTGCCACGTCGTGGTGACCATCCAAACGCACATTCCTACATTAGACATGCCACGTTGTGATGCTCCATTTACCATGTCTTGGCACTAGATTTTCCTAAAAATCTTACCTTTGACCCCTCTAATCCCTCATCTGATCCATTCTAGAAAACAGATGTTACAATATCCCTTACAATTTCCAAATGGAAACCAATTTAAATATTGTAAGGCTGGTTTACCTAATGCGAATGAAAAATATTGCCCTTTAAGAAAAGCATACCATTTATTTTACATATTTAAGTATAAAAATACATTACATCATCTAAATATAGAGTAACTTTCCAGGATAAATGTTGTTTATCTTCAGACATTGTAATGAGGAGCATTTGCATATTATACAATGCTACTTTTCTATGCTCCTTGGTTGCGGAAAACGGTAATTGATTTACAGTTTTACCATTCGCTCTTTCGTACGTTGAAAATCATGAATCAATTCTAAGGCAATCATATCAATAATACCAAGTTGCTCATCCACAAGGCGCAACAGTTTATATTCTATTGGCAAAACATCATCATAAGGGCGCCCAAAATATATATATATATATATATATATATATATATATATATATATATATATATATATATATATAAACCCCTTTCACTTTTAGTCAAATTATTCAATTTCCCTTTATTTTATATTATTTAGATCGTAGATCCCATAGTTTACGTCTTCTTATTTGGTAAAGGGATTTAAAGATGCCTTAAATGCATGCATTCCCAAGATAATTAACCGAAAATTCTACATTCCCAATGTTACCGACTAAGAATTGTAAAAATTGAGGTGGTGGGGGTAGGGGCACGATTGGGTTTTAATGGTCTGACTATGGATGACAAAGGTTATCGATTTTGTTGCAAATTGGGGCCGCTGCCCAAAGATAAGGAAACTCCTTATTGTGATTATTTATGGTGCCCTTTGGAATGTCTGGAAAGCGAGAAACAGCGAGAAACGATAGGCTCTTCTTTATAAAATCACCGTTTCAAAAAAAAAAAAAAAAAAAATCTTATATGATGAAAACTTTTAGTAAACAGTATGTAAATAATGTAAATGAAGTCACTTGTCTTGTAATTACAATAAATCTTAATGGCATTCAAGAACAACATATTTTCATAAATGTTTCATGATATAGAACACATTTTTAAGTACAACATACGTGACCTTCGAGAATATAGTACATGAATTTTTTATTTTTACTTTTTGTTAAAAAAGCACTATAATCTCTTAGAACGTAAGGTTTGAACTTTGAACGATACAGCCGTTGTCCGTAGAAAATTCTTTTCTTGTCACCTATAGGCTATAGGGCGGTTTTTTTTTTTTTTTCTTTTTTTGTTCCTTTCACAAGAGTAATAGTTGCTTCTTGATGATAAGTCAAATACAAAAGTTAATAGTTTAAAGACGTATATGACTATATAAAATATGCGTCAACAATTTACATGCATGTCATGTATAATTATTGTATAAAGTTTATCACGTTTAAAAAGTACAATTACACTTGGACTTAAATCTTGTTACTAAAAATGGAGAAACACCCAACTTCATTATACAGCTTCTTGGAATAGCAAGGCAACATTGGTACTTTTTTTAGTAACACACACACACTTCAACACTATATATATGCATGCCCAACACTTTATCTTAAAAACCACATTCAAATCTAACTTTGGTTTTCTAAAACCTTCACCATGACACTTAGTATCCAATCGGTTCAACCATTCGCACCCACGGCTAAGCCACCACCCAAGCCACTATGTCAAAGGCGGTCTACACTGTCCATGAAGACAGCTCAACCAACACGCGTCACTCGAGCTCCAAGTAAATGGGTTATTGACTCGGAAGGTCGTCAGACGCAACCACCACTGAGTCGACTCGGTAAGAGATGGAAAGAGTATCACGGGTCGAAAAACTGGGAGGGATTATTGGACCCACTCGATGACGGTTTACGTGACGAGATTATACGGTACGGGAGTTTTATTGAGGCAGCATACAAATGTTTCGATTCCATCCCTCCTTCACCAAGTTACTCTACACGCCACGTCACCGACTCAAAAGTTGAAGAAAGTGGATACCGTGTGACGAAAAACTTATACGCCACGTCATCAATTCCAATGCCAACTTGGGTAGGAGGGATCGGCGAGCGGTCTAGTTGGATCGGTTATGTCGCAGTCTGCGAGGACCAGAATGAGATCACTAGACTCGGTAGACGAGACATAGTGATCTCATTGCGTGGAACCGGGACCTGTCTAGAGTGGCTCGAGAATCTGCGAGCCACTCTGACTCGTTGTCCGTTCGGCAACAGGTTGTCGAACGGACAACACGACACTCCGATGGTGGAAAGCGGGGTTTTAAGTTTATACACGTCGAGCACGTCGGTATGCCAAAGTTTACAACAATCAGTAACAGACGAAATTTTAAGAATAGTTGATACGTACGGTGACGAGCCGTTAAGTGTCACCATCACAGGACATTCTTTAGGTGCTTCTTTAGCTATTTTAGCAGCTTACGATATTAAAAATACGATAAAACACGCGTTACATCTCTCGGTTATATCGTTTGGTGGGCCCCGGGTTGGGAACCGGAGCTTCCGGCATAATCTAGAACTACAAGGGACAAAGATTCTACGGATTGTGAATTCGGATGACCTTATTACGAGAGTACCGGGTTTTTTCGTGGAAGACCATGATGACGTGGCGAAAAAACAAAAACCTCGTGTGGAACATTTGCCTAGTTGGATACAGAAATGTGTTAACGATAAACGGTGGGTTTATGCTAACATTGGACATGAGCTACGATTGAGCAGTAGAGCATCATTAAAGTTGAACAGTATTGATGTTGCCACGTGTCATGATTTAAAGACATATCTACATCTAGTAAATGGATTTGTGAGCTCGTCTTGCCCTTTTAGGGCAAGTGCAAGAATGATGCTCAATAAAGCTTCTACTGTTCCTCCCACATAACAGTTTTTTAATAAAATCATTTTTTATTTTTTTATTTGAAAAGAAAATCTTTGGGAATGTGACATTTTATAACATTACTCTTGCATAAGTTTGACTCATTTAGTCTCATAGTTAGGTTTCATTTCCAATCGTGGGAATTAATTAGTATTTTGTGCAAGATTTAGTCAACTGTCAAGTAAATGGTGTATATTTAAAATTTAAATACATACACATTTTGCTCATTTTTAGTCATCTTACATCTAATTGATAGTGTTAAATGCAAGAAACAGCAATGTATTTTTTATTTATTTGTTTATTATAAAATCCTATCTTCATCATTTCCTATTTCACTATTGTACTTGAAAAATCGACCTAATTATAGCAATGGCATCCAAATACAATGATATTTTCACTGCTATAATAGAGCCAGGTATTTTGAAGTACAATTTCTTAATAATGAAAAATTGCAAGTACAATGCTATAATTGGGTGACTTTTATCAAAGTACAATGTCTTAATAAGAAAAAAATAAAAGTAAATTGTTGTGATAAAATAAAATATATGTAAGATGCTATAATAAACAAATAAATGAAAGTACATTGCTATATCTTGCATTTATCCTTATTTCATATTGTTTAAAAACATTTATACTTGAGAAAACTGGTTTAGCCAAACCAGAACATGTTCAAATTCAAGTGTAAGCAAATACCTTAACTTACATTGACCCAAAGAATTGAGATTTTATTAACATATAGTGAGATGCATAACAAATTGCAAGAACAATAAAAACTAATAATATCTACCTTGAATAATCATGCTTTTGTGTTGAATTCTACTCTTAAATCATCACTTCTTTTTACCAGTTATACCTGCAACCACCTGCAAGGATTTTACACCTATCATTTAAAATCAAAAGTTAAAAATGAATGTCATTATAAAACCAATGTTTAGTACTCACATCGTTTAAAGCAGGTTGACGAACTTGCTTGGAAGATTCAAATGAATCTAGCATAGGCTTCACCACTGCTGGAAGGAATAGACCTGAAAGTTCACAATTCACAAAGGTTTCACTTATGGTGTGGTTTCCACTTTCCATGTAATCTAAAAAGGTAACACATTTTGAAACTAAAAACCTAAGAATATAGGTATCAATTCTAATTTCCAAAATCAAATGTGAAATCTATCTTTCAGGGCAGAGGTGATACGAATCAACAAAAGTATATGCTTTCCGTTTTTTTGCACAATGCAAGGTTACCAAATCGATATCAGATATCAGATCATAGAAACAGGATGGTGAAACAGATGAATCGTGCATTGCAATATATTATATATCGTTGGAATTACATCCAAACTGAATTTGATCGAGAAAAGGTACATAAATTAGGGTTCAAGAAAAAGAAGAGGAAAGGTACCAACGCCACCGAGGAGACATGAAGCAGCAACAATTGGCTCTTGAGCAACGAACATCTTTAGTTTATCCATAACTGCCATATCGCCCCCTCCTCTTTGCTCGATCTCTGTGAAAATTTCTCTCTTTCTCTGTGTTCGTTGGCACTGTTGTTTTTTTTTTGTTCGTGCGCAACCAGAATCGGGTGGGGTCGGAATATAATAAGTTGAATGGAATAATATTGTTTTGAAAAAATTTCATAAATGATCCTTCTGGTATCTCGAAATCTGAAGTTTAGTCTTTAAGTTTAAAAAACTTCATAGATGGTCCCTGTGGTTTCAAAACTTTTAACAAAAACGTCCTTATTGCTCACTTTGTCAACTTTTGTTTGAAATGACATTTTCCACATTTTACTATCACAAGGAACATTTATGAAGTTTTTTGTTATTTTATATATATATATATATATATATATATATATATATATATATACACACACACATACATTTTCTTCCATTTTCTCAGAAAATTATTCCCGCCTATTCTTTAAACAACTTCGTCCCTGAAAATCGGCACTTAAAATTAGAAACTATGTTGAATCCTAAAATCTCGCTTGCTATCTCTCCTTATTAGCCTTCTTCAAAACTGAATTTTCTTATGAAAACCCTGTTATTTCGGCTAAATCGAAGTTTAAAAGGCACACTATCAATATCGCATTCCATCATCCGTAAACCTCAGTTAGTCTAGCATCCTTCAACGTCGTCTTCCTTGGCCACCACCGAACTAACCATTTTCACCGCAATCTACCACCGGTCTAACCTCGAATCAACCTAGATCTCGCATTACCCTCAAATCCGGTTACTTTTCTGCCACCAGGTTCGTTTACTGCCGCCGCCACTCCCCTTCCTTCCTGCTAAAATCTACCATGGTAGGGATCAACCATCATCATTCAAAATTTCAAATACAAAGAAGTTGTCTTGCGCTCCCAAAGCTATCGCTTTCTCTCTCACCATGAGAAACCCGAACCACCTAAAGTTGAATCAGGTTCATGAATCCTTCTTCTTCGTTTCTACTTCTTTTTATTATGAATCAAGTTCAAAAATCTCAAGGTGTTAACTTTTTTGTGTAATTTGTTCTTCTATTCCTTTCTTTATGAAGTTCGTACGTATAGTTTTATGACGTTTTTCGGTATTTTCTTTATCCATACTCACTTTTTGGAAACATTGAGTTTTTGACACCCTATGTTCAATTTTTTGTGAAGAAACCTCTATCTACAAAGTGCCCATCAGAGCATATTTAATGATTTCTTAAATTTGTTGGCATATTTGTTGTCTTAAGTTTGATTACTTGGTGCTTCCTGTAACAATATTCATTCTTTTATTTGGAATGATTTTGTGACACAATCATAATCATTTTGTTAAACTTGCATTTGATTTTTTTTTCATTTTTGTTCTATATGTTAATTTAGGTTGAAGTGAATCTTTTATTTTTGAAGGGAATTCTAACGATATCCATTATAGGTTTTTGTTTGGGTATTTTGAAATTGTGTAAACTTCAAAAATCTAATCTTTATATAAGAACTGTGACTCTACAGTGTGGTGGTTGTTTTTTTCCTTTTGATTTTGAAGACCAAACAGGGGCTGCCTAAAGTGTCGGCATGTTTGTTTTACTCACTTACAATAGGTAATCATACTTGTGCTTTTCAATTTTCTCATTTCCCCCTTTCATAAGTTCATGAGCTTTTCAACAAGACCAATAGAATCAACATGCTTTTTTTATTTATGTTTTATTAATTGATATTGTTCTTTGTTATGGATTAGCAGAAAATGGGACAAGGTTTATAGATAAATATAGTGTGTGTGTGTGTATTTAAGTGACAAATACCATATTATGGCATCTATGCATGTATGATAAATACCATATTATATCATCATTGTTTCCACCAAACAATGTATATATGTGCCTATTTATAGCATTTTATATCAGTTGTATAAAACAGGGGTGTAATGGTAATTTATTTGATCAGTCTATAACAAATGTTGTGCTTTGTGGCTTATTTATGAGGTAAATGCATAAAATAGCATTATACTTTGAAATTGAGCCTATAAATACATAAAAGTCATGAACAAAATAGGGGTGGGGTATAATCGTCAATTTGATTGGTTGGACTATAACTGAAGTTAATGTTATCAAAAGATTGAATATGATAATACAATGTTATTTAACTATTTCTGTTACTTTTTTGTGTTCATATACCTCTAAATAGCAATGTTCTTTCAATTGTATGTCTCATATAACATCCTGCTTTCATAGATAAACAATTATTTTTAAAAAAACGGGGACCTTTTTCGTAAAGTTAGTAAAACAGGGTCCATTCATTTATTTACATTTCTCTAATATTAAAACATGGACCATTTATGTAATTTATACTTTTTTATACAACTTCATTATCTATTACCTTTGTCAAATATAGCATCTTACAATTAATTTTATTCTAAATTCACTTAATAATGATGATATGTTAAAGTACATAGTTATTTACTTTTAATTTCTGAATACAGACAATTTCTATTAATTTTGAAAAAGCAAGGACCATTTCGGTAAACTTTTAAAAACAAGCCCAAAGTAATATAGCTTAGTACATGAAGAAAACACATTCAAACTATGCATCACTTACAACTATTTTCATCCCCTTAATACATGAAGAAATTACCTTATTATGCCATGAACATACCCTTACTAATTGACAAATATACAAATACAGATTCAAAAAGGGTAGTGCTAAATGTAAGAATTACCTAGTACTTCAATTTTTTTGTATATTATAACATAATATTGGCATTTTAAAACAGGGACCATTTTTTTACTTTAATAACTAACTTTTAAACAATTGCACAAAATAACATGGACTTTCATTATAAAAAAAACAAAAAAAAAACAAAAAAAACAAAAAAAAAACATATTTGTGTATAGTCAGTAACAAATACATTTGCAAATGATTAAAATTTCATGCTAAACACAATTTTCAACATATATTCCAACTAATTTCCAGAAAGACCAAAAATATGACAACTATCAATTTTCGATCCAACAAAAGTCAACAAGTCAACAAAAGTCAACAAGTCAACGAAAATCAACTCGACTTGTATTAGAACTTTAGGTAAATCTTGATGTTTCCTAATGTACAACCTACAAGTATTAATACGAAATACCTCTCTTTTCTCCAATTATTGAATAAAAACAATCCTACTTTTGGATTAGCAACGTTAAATTCGATAATTTCAACATATATTATTTTGGTATAAATAATATTTTCAACACATTGTGCTATTATCTTTATTGATAATACTTCCTTTATAATGATTTGAATTTTTATAATTCAAATTAGGTAATTAGACATTAGTTTTACCATCTTTTTATAAAACACCCATCTTTTTTTTTATAAAATCTCTTAGTTTTTATAAAGTTTAGAAGGATTGACTTTGGGTGCATGGAAAGCCCCAACATGAGTCATATTACCCACCATACAACTTCCCACAAAACATATTACCCACCATACAACCAAGCAACCATCACCCCACCCCACCCCACCCCTCTCCCCCCTCTTTAACTTGCGGTCGAGGGTTCCCACCCCC